CCATCCAGATGGATTTATCATCTGTCTAGCAACCATAAATCAGGAACGATGAAATAGGTCAAGGGCGATGACATGAAAACGAGAGCAGGGAAAACAATCGTGGTCGGTGCATAGGGGCCAGTCGTGAAAGTTTTTATTGTAATGTTATTTTTGTAAGGGTGGTGCAAGGTTGAGGAAAAGTTGTCACAAAGTTACATGTATGCGAGGAGTCGGCCAGAGAGTCAAACAGAAGCGAGCGCTGCATGTGTCCTCAGCTGAACTCACTCTCAGGATCAGGATGTACACTCTGTTGCATGTTTGTGTGGAGACTATGAGTGTGGGCTTGGAAGGCAGCGGCGCCATTGTGACGACTCAGCCTTGCATCATTGGCAGAGGCAGACACACACACACAAACACACACACACACACACACACACACACATAGGGAAGGGAACAGATGCAAGCCTACTGTGACGACGTGCTTCCTTGTGCCTCTGTGTGTGTGTGTGTGTGTGTGTGTGTGTGTGATCTCTATCTGAGGTGGGTTGTATAATGGCCACATGTGAGCCCTCACCCACAGGCCTTTCCGCCAGCTCACTGAGGAACATTCCAGCTCTCCCAATTCCCCTGCTCTTCTCATGTACCTAGCTTTACCACCAATCCGTTTTCCCTCTCCTGGCCTAATTCCTTGACTCCATTCCATGTCGTTCTCTTCCACATACTCGCTTGCTCAGCTGTTTTGGTTCTCCATGTTGCTTCATGGTAGTTTCTGGCAGGAATGAGGACGTTGTCGTCATGCTGGGAGATGCCATCATTCACACAACCCGTAGCACTATTTTAAAATGGAATTGCTTTCACATTGCCATGTTCCAGATGTCAGTCCCCATCTATTTAAAAGTGGATCATAAGCTGAATCAGTTTTTGAAAACATTACTTCAGACGTCATATCTTTTGGTCCAGCTGTATGGTTGGTTAGTTCTCACGGTGATTTCCTGAAGGGTTTTTTTTGTTGTTGTTTGATTGGACCAGGTTGGTTGTAGACGCCCACATGCGTGGCCCTCATTTGGTTTGGTGTTTTCAGGCATTGGTCTGGTAAGTGTGACGACCAAGCCAGTGACTGGAATAGTTTTTTGATGTTTATTGTCATGGGTAATTTTATCAAGCTGAGGGGCGATGTGGGGGTGAATGGGGAATTTTTTAAAATTATAATATCGTTGGAACATTTATGATTTAAAGTTTTTTTTTTTTTTTTTTTATTTTAAAGGGTTTTTTAGTTTTGGGTAAATAAAAATGAATTTTTTGATGTCCTCTTCTTTTCAGTTTGGTTCCATGCTAGTTTTGGTCCGTCTGATTGGTCAATAGCAAGTTTTTACATTTTTATTTATCTACTTAAATGCTTTGGAAAATTTATTTTTTAAATTTTTTTTTTTTTTTTTTTAATTCTAAAGAGTTTTTGAAGTATGAGTAAATACACATGACATTTCTAGAAAACAGTTGGCTAAAGCATGAAAACGAATAGAGATGCGATGCCGTGCAATAAACCAATAACCACACAACCACGTTCACTCGTATAATCAATTGCACCGCAAGCCACCCGTTTTCTCCTGTCTGATCGATGTCAGTGAGTTTTGGATTCCCCGGTTTGGTGAAACATTAAAAAAACCCCACTGTAATTTTACAGTTCATATGTTTTGAATCTAAAACAACGCACTGTGACAGATATCAATGACGGCACACTTTCAGAAATTCCCTATGCTGTCACTGAGGTGGGCGTCCCCGATCACCTGACCGTAAAGAGTGTGTGAGAGAAGGGGGCAGAGTCTGGCTTGTGGGGTAAGCCCTTTCCATGGTTGAGTCATGGGAGTTCCCCAGTTATGCAGCAGACCACTAGCTATTATCAGACCTAATGTATGTGTGTTTCGATATATCTCTCTTACAATAATAAGAATCAGTTTCGGAGAGCTGCATTGTTCCCACATTACTAGAAATCTATATTAGTAGTAATCCAAAACATATTCTGGTAAAAGCAAAGCTGTAGCAGTATGATTTGTCTTTCTATGTGAAATGTAGTATGGAGAAGTTTCAGTTTGTGTTTTTATACTATGAATGTACACTGAAAGCCACTACCCACAGCTGTCTGCCTCTGCAGTCTTCAAACTTTTTTTTAGGCAAAAGACCTCCCAGTTGGACATAAAGCTTTAGCTTTTTTAAGTTTTAAACCAGTAAGCTTTTAAACCATTACACAATAATATGGCAGACTCACTGCTGAAGACCCTTGGTTTACTCTGTGTACGTGCCTCTTTTATACAAGCTTAAATTTTTCTCTTATGCAAAAAACACATATACCAACCACTGAAAACACTTTCTATAAACCCATCAATTCCACCTTTATTTCTCATGGGGTGTTTTTCCTGAGCCACAGTTTTCACATGTGATTGTTGGCTTTCCACACCGATATGTCTCTATGAGAGCCAGGCCTGTGTTTATTCAGACACCTCCCCACAATAACTCTCACCATTGTGTGTGAGAGACAGTATCATGGATTTCCTCTCACTGTTGTCCTGCTCACCACTTAAGAGATTCCAGTGTTGCAGACAGATTTCCTTTAGTTTATTTTTAATTTTCATGTTACAACTGACACTTCATGGTTAATATTGAATAAAGAATTTATTTATTAGAGTGCAGTTTGTCCATATAAAATAGTTTTATTCTTTATTGTGCTCCTAATAGAGAATAGAATAATATGGGGAAAACAAATGAGTTTTATTAAAAACAAATTCTCGTCTGGATTTTTTTTAAATTCCAAATCGCAATTTGTCAACTTTTTCTCCTCAATGGAGTCATTTTTGACACCGTCTGTGATAGGGTATTGATGGCACAGCTGTGAACCCTGGCTGTTTTTACAGCACTTGTTCTGATTGGATGGAATTAAGCCAATGCAAAAGATCAGGAACGCAAATGAGAATAAACTCAATGCGTGTTAACTCAATGCACTGGTGATTATCTCTTTATCTCTTTCTCCAGCAATCTACGACCACAGAGTCAGCTGGGATGATCAACTGTTGGTGCTAAACCCTAATTCTTCAGGGACAGATTTCCTTTAGTTTATTTTTAATTTTCATGTTACAACTGACACTTCATGGTTAATATTGAATAAAGAATTTATTTATTAGAGTGCAGTTTGTCCATATAAAATAGTTTTATTCTTTATTGTGCTCCTAATAGAGAATAGAATAATATGGGGAAAACAAATGAGTTTTATTAAAAACAAATTCTCGTCTGGATTTTTTTTAAATTCCAAATCGCAATTTGTCAACTTTTTCTCCTCAATGGAGTCATTTTTGACATCGTCTGTGATAGGGTATTGATGGCACAGCTGTGAACCCTGGCTGTTTTTACAGCACTTGTTCTGATTGGATGGAATTAAGCCAATGCAAAAGATCAGGAACGCAAATGAGAATAAACTCAATGCGTGTAAACTCAATGCACTGGTGATTATCTCTTTATCTCTTTCTCCAGCAATCTACGACCACAGAGTCAGCTGGGATGATCAACTGTTGGTGCTAAACCCTAATTCTTCAGACATTTGAGAAGTGGTGCTAGATGCTTATTTGACAGGTAGTGTGTGTGTGTGTGTGTGTGTGTGTGTGTGTGTGTGTGTGAATATGCAGAAACCGTTCTAAGAATGCAATGCACTGCAGGGTCACGATTATTTCAGTCCCCAGCAGCTAAATGCAGAGTTCTTGAAATATCGCAGAAGCCTTTTAATAGTGCGACACCATGAGCCAGAGAGGAGTGGGTGGGATCCTGTGCACTGCTCAAAATACGCACACATACGTACTGTCTGACTAAACCTGCTGAGCAATGAATAGCTCACACACGCTGTATCCAAACAATCTCTGAATACTGCCACATACTTATTTATTGTTAGACTGATTTAGGCCTCATCACCAAAATTGCATCTTAAAGACTGTATTAATGGCTTGTACATTTCATTAGTAAGTGTTACACTGCATGTTGAGTTTGTAACTCCGGAATAACCCATCAGGTTATACAGCATTTTATGGATGACAAGATTTGCATCTGTGGCCTATTTGATTGTATAATAAGTGTGTGTGGGTTTATTTTGTGCTATAGAAAGAGAAAGCCTGTGCGTGTCACACTTGAAATGCTTTTGCCAAGTCCATAATTAGTGTGCACTAGGCATCCTTTGCTGTATGTGTATGTATGTGCGTGTGCCAAGCGATTTCAATCGGGTGTGTGCACACGCTTGCCAATATTTGTGCATCCAGCGTGTGCTTTGTGTGCCATGTGTGTTTAAAATGCGTGGGAAGCTCAGTGTGTTTGCATGCATGGGTGTTTCATGGGAGCACAGCCGGTCTTCTCACTTTGGTGTCTCCCTAAAGAACACTTTAATTTTAGACCCTTCTTTTTTCCCTAATCTGTCCATCCATCCTGTTCAAGCCTTCTGCTGTTCCTTTCCTCCCTCCACCCCTTGCTCTATTTCTTTCTATCCTTTCCTCTCTCCATCATGCCTGGCCTAATGAGATTAACCTCGGTGTCTCTCTTGTCATAGACACACACTCATACACATGCAAATAATCAAACTCGAGCAACACAACACAAGTACACACACTCCTTTATGTACACATGCACACAGACACCGCTGGCTTGATTCCAGGGCTTTGCTCTGCTCGTCCCCTCCTTCCCATCACTCTCACCCTCTGCCAAGAGGCCCTAGGAAGGGTTATAATGACCTCAGTGTACTCACCCTACAGGTGAACACCCACAAGCCCATCTGTGCACCCTTTCCTCCCATTAGAATACAGAAGAGCACTGCACCCTAGAGGTAGCGAGTGGCACTGAAGTTCTGGAGGGTTCCTTTGTTATTAGCTGCCTTCAGGCCAAACACTCATACAGCCTACAAAGGATATGTTTTTCCCCTGTGTTTAATGGATTTGGCCGTTTTTTGTGCCTCAACCTCTTATTCCCCATCTCTCCTCTTTTCTTTCTCTCTCCAGTTGACAGGAGTAGCAGTAAACAGCTTCTCCGTCGTGTTGGTGAGTGGCCCTCTCTGTTTTGCAGTGGAGGGCTTCACACTCACAGCTAGTGTGGTAAGTAACCATGTGTACTGTTCTCTAACTAAAATAAGTCAAAATTACTAACTGAAATAAAAAATTTAAGCTAAATAGAAAATTAAAAATCAACTGATAAAAGCACAACAAAATGACTAAAATTTCAACTAAAATATAAATGTAACAGCTAATTCAAAATATTAAAACTAAAAGTATATAAATAACTAATACTAAAGTAACAGCTAATAAATAGACTAAAGTGTAGCTAATAAATAAAATAGCAGACATCCAATCTCTTTAAGTATTTTTCCCAGCAGTGCAGTGACAGATGTATTGGCTAAGATATTAAAGATGTGTGTTTATTGTTTAGGCTGGATGCATCACACAGCAGAACAGTTCGCCGGGTGCAGCACACGGGACCCTTTTCCTCTGGACGGACTCAACCGGGGACCATGGGCTCCTGTGGGCAGCCGCGCCTGGCCACCTCCCTCCAGGTAATATACCTCATGATCAGGGCCGCGTCATGCTTTTAGTGACTTCACTGATAAAGTTGTGTTAACTGAGGCTACGTTTACACGACAACGATGTGGGCAAAAACTGAAAAGTTTTTCCCTTGCGTTTTTAAAAAGTTTCACATATACACGACGTATATACACAACGTTTTCAAAACGATTCGTGTTTACACATATCCGCGAAAATGGCCAAAAACACTGTATTACGTATGCCAGGCCAGTAGTTGGCGCTGTCACCTTGTTAGTAAACAAACCTGTTGCCATGTGTATATGATGCGTCTCCGCTGTTGGTTGTAATATTGGTTGTAAGTAAATCCACACTTTGCTGAAAAAGCGTTAGCAAACTCTTAAGCAGCAACAACACTACAACGTACTCCGCCATTGTTGTGTATGTTTGTTTGCGCTTGCCTTTAAAATCGACACGTACTGCACATGTCTTCATACCTAACACGTACTACGCACGTGCGTGACGTTTTCAAAAAAGTTCACTTTGAAACCTGTTTTCAAAATTGTGTTTTAAGTCCACAAAACGCAGTTGTCGTGTAAACAAACTGGCAAAAAGCATAAAAAGTTTCCTGTTTTTGGCTGAAAACGTTGTCGTGTAAACGGCTCCTGAGTTATAAGAAGGAATGATCAAAGCAAAACCTTGTTTTCTCTTCTCTTGATAGGTGCTTACCAGGTGTCAATCAGCACCAGTTCCTCCCCCATATGCCACCCAGTCACATGACTGGGCTAAATCATTCTAGTAAATTTTTAAACAATGGGTGGGTTTTAATTAAGCTTTATTGTCGTTTTACAAATACTTCTGGCATAGGTTTGTTAATGTGTCTTTGTATTTACAGTCCCTTACATCGAGGAGATAAGCAAGACCTGTCTCAGGCTTTGTTGCCAGGATTGCAAAGGATGCCCCCTGCTCCTCCCAAGCCTTGGGAACCAACCAGAACTGGCCAGGGATATGAGCCATTGCCTGTTGATAACCACAACCGACTGCACAATGGCTACAATGCAGGACCTCCTGCACACCTCACAGCTCGAGCCAGTCAGCTACTGAAGGTGATTACTGACCTTCTATTTCATTACTGTTCCTTTTATATGCGCTCTTGTTATATAAAAATGAATAGTGTTCCTGTATATATATATCAGTATTTTAAAATTTACAAGTTATGAAAGACTAGCTTTATATTACACTGAAGTTGTTATACAAATTTTTGCATTTAATTGAATGTATAGCGCACTTAACTGTGTTCTATAGTTTAGAGTACTTTCGCCAACTTCTCTTTCTCTTGCTTTATCCACAAGTATGGTGCGCCTCATCCTCAGCTCCTAGCCCATGTCTCACGGCCCATGCCTCCATTACCTGATATATGGACTCAACCTCAGACTCAGCAGCAACCCAGGGGACCTCACTCTCATTCTGGACAGTTAAAACGGCCTGGGCCCCTACTGGGAGAGCACTCTGTCATTCAGCATACCCCTGATCCATCTCTGCACTGGCCCATGGAGGACTGCCCCAGTCCGAGCAAGAGAAAGAAGAGCTCTGGGTCTGAACAGGTTAGTCGAGAGCATATCACGTCTTTTGATGTCCTCACCTCTACGTTTTTTGTACTAAAACTCGCCTTTAACAAGTGTTCTAAGAAGCCCTTTTTTAAAACTTTTCTTATTGCAGATGACTCCTTCAGCCATGCAGCGCATATCTGGGCTGCCTGTACATTTGAAACAGCAGCCATCCTCCATCTACCCCCTACCCAAACCTGGCTTTTGGAACCCATTGCACAAAGGAGGAGCACCTTGGAACCTGAATGAACACAAAAGCAGACCCATCGATTTCCAGGTCAGTCATCACTGATCTGAATGTTAATATTCAATAATATTTTCTTGTTTTCTGTCTGACAGTTTAATGTATGGTATCATCTGTCACTGCCACTTTATTAGCTTTCACTTTTTCAAAATTTTTGCCCTGACTTTCCACTTGTCAGTGGAGATTGTAACAAAGGCCAGAAATCAGGAGCAAATCTATTTAGCAGGTTAAATATCTAGACCTGTCTGCAATCCAAGTAATGTAGTGTGAAATATGTTTTGACTGTAACTCACTTCGCACAATGATAGAGAATTGTGTAGTGTGTGTAAAGAACAGCAATCCAACAAATTAGAAAGTTGTGTATTGTGTGACCGTTATTACTGACGTTGAGTCTTCCCTTTTGTTTTACATTAGATGTGCTTGGCTTACTTGGCCAATTCCTATTCTCTATTTACAGGATTCAGCTAAGTCAGGAATTGAAAATTTCACCTATAAACCGCCTCCCTTGAATCCATCAACCATGTCTTCACCCACCATTTCTGCCATAAGAGGCTACGAAGAAAGCAGGGGTCCTCCACCACAGTCCCACAAGACTGCTCTGTCACCACAGTCTCTGGGACCACCTTCACAGAACCTTCACATCCATCATTCTCCATACCCCTACCCCAACAACAGACCTTCAGCTCAGACACAAGGGGAACCACGTGGTACTACTCCACAAAGAGGACATGGTTCTGGAGTGAGTTCTTTGGATAACCAGGCTCCACCACCACATACATCCTCATCATCACCACGGGCAGATGGGGTGCGCCCTGCACCATCACCAGCAAACAACACCTCTGTGCCTTACAGTCACCCCCAATTCCAGCCTCACCCAGGGCTGGTCCTTTCCAGCCCACCAGCCAGCAACCAGGCCCAGGCCACAGTACCTCAGCACAACCCCCATAAACCCTGGAGGAATCAGGTAACACATACACACACACAATGATAGCTGATGATCACATAGATTCAACTTACATTAACCAAAACCAATTTGATACGCAAACAGATCTGCCTGCTTAAGGCTTAAAAATGACTGGCTGTTTAATACTAATAAATACTATGCTACACAATATATGCTATAAACCATAAATGTTATCAGTAGTTATTAGGGTTGGGTATCGAAAACCGGTTCCAAATGTACAAGAACCGGGTATTCGATAAGACACGTGCATTTCGATTCTGCCTAACGATTCCTGCGTTCGCATTTTAATGTGATTAAAAACGATTTAAGTGCAGGAATGTAAAGAACTTATGCCCTGTTTGTGTGCAGCACAAACGATGCGCGAGCACAGAGGTCGCGGTACGGGTTCCCGGTTTGTGTCCGTTCTCAAAACGTTCAGTGTATTTCCACTGTAGAAAATGTTGTTCCGGGCCGAAACTGACTTTCATATTTGTCAACCAATATGCAGTATATCATCATAAACACAGCCGGTTTTGTCTTACGTGAACGTAAACAGATGAGAAAGAAAACACACATGTACAGTATTTTTAGATCTGCGTGCATTCGGTGTTAAAGAGACCGCAGCCTAATAAACGCGCTGCCTGTCATCAATGTAAACCAAAGAAGAAAACATAATTCACTGATCTTTATTTGATTAATCGGTTTTATTTATGAAAAGAAAACTATGCAGTGTTTTTAAACTTTTAATTACAGTTTCCGTACCTGAAATTTTGTTCAGTTGTATTTATTTATGATATTGCTAATTGATTTGTTTGTCCCTATCTTATAACTGACTGTTTACTTGTCTTTAACACTTTAATATTTGAAATTTATATTAATCTAGTTGTTTTTGCTGTGGTATTTTTTTTTTAAAGCATAGGCAAAATTCCTCTTGCAGTGTTCTGTAGGCTGCTGATTTTTGCTCGTGTTATTCAGCTGCAACAGAATGCTTTGTAAATGTTTGACTTAATTTCTTTTATATTGGATTTTTTTATCTTATTGGAATCAAAACTAGGAATCGATAAGAATCGGAATCGATAAGCCGAATCGGAATCGATAAAATTAAAATGATACCCAACCCTAGTAGTTACAATATTGTGTCCTATGATTTGCTGACTGTAATATTAATTTCCCTTTAGGAATCACGTGACTTTTCAGCAAGAGGGGATTCTCAGGTTGCCGCACGCCTTTCTCAGGCACCGAATAGGTTTGCTGGGGCCAAACAGGGTCCAGGGACCCACCAGCGTGTGAGCCCTCCTCAGGCCCCTGCTCGAAAACCTGTCATTACCCCAAACCTAGAAACTCCTTGCTCTCTAAAACTATACACCAATGTTGGAAGCATTCCTGCCTTGAGCTCAGCACCCTCTACCACCTCCTCCATTCCTAGCTCCCTGAGCAGTTGGAGAGCGACAGATTCTTCAGTGCTAGTCTCAAACCCAAACCATGTATCCATGATTGGTCAAAATCTAACACATATAGGGTATCAGGGTGTCCACCCTGGTGTTGGAACCCTTCCAAAACAGTTGGGTAGACCCAACTACACCCCAGTGTCCTCTTCTCCCTCCAACCTAAACTCAGGACTTCAGAGATCAGGGGAGAGCGTCATCACCAGCAAGACTTATAACACTCTCCCTCAAGTCAGTTCACCTTTACATTGCCCTCAGCTTCCAGAACACATAAAAGTCAACTCAGCCCTACAGGCAATTTCTTGTAATTCATACAGCTCATCACCCATCCAAGCTTCCTCCTCAATTTCTCAGGCAACTACTACTGTTCCAGCCCCAGTCTACCCAAGGTCCTGTTTACAGCCTGCTGCCCTAAGCTCTCAGTCCATTGCTGATGCTTTAAATAAACTTGATGCAGAGCTGCAAGGCCACATGCAAGCAGAAGAGCGGAGGAGAGACCAGAATGAAGAGAGGAAACGGAATGTAGAACGACAAGAAGTGGAGACAAAGCCACCCAGTGAGTCTACTATCAAGAGTCTGGAACATTTGGTGTCAGGTAGTGCAGCTGAGCCTCCACCTCCTCGTTTGTCACCAACCAATGCACTCTCCTCCGTCTCACTTCCTAGCCAGAATTCACCACCTTATCCCTGGTTGAGTCGAGGAGGAGTGCCCCCACGTCTTTCTGGAACTCCAGCAAACGTTTTGGAACGGTCACAACCACCTCCTCTTACCCCCCAGACAGAATATGCCCGTGAGAAGCAAAGGCAGAGAGAGAAATGGAAGAATGGAGCACCATCTCAGAATTCCACTGGGAATCCCACATACCCCTCAGATTCGGGTCTCATCAGCCCCTCCGAAAACCATAGCCACACCATGAAATTGAAGCCTGATCCATACAAAGATGTCACCATGTTGAAAACCTCTCATAATGCTGAGATTATAGACACTATTCCCAACCCTCCACCTCTGCGCGAGCCACCCAAACTTTACCAGGCTTTCCCCAAGGATATTCGTTCTTCATGCACGCCTATCAGCACGACTATAAGCAGCCTTCAAAAACGTATGCCCAGTACAGGACTTGGTAGTCTGGGTAGCAGTGCTAGAAGTTGCAGTGGTGACTCTGATGGTGCCCAATTTGAGGAGGAAACTTCTGAGCTTTTGCCTGATGGATTGGCTAATATTATAAAGATGCTGGATGAGTCCATCAAGAAAGAGGAGGAGCTATATTCTGGTCAGAGTGGAGAACAGGCAGTACCGGAACCTCCATTTTCTACTAACGTGGTACCTATGAAGAGTTATGTATGTGCACCAGACCTCATGCCTGCCCTTAAGCAATCTCCAATTGAGGATTATCAGCCAATTGGCCATGCAAGCCCACCTGTGTTAAGTCGGCAAGGTTCGCTGGCATCTCCTTGTAGCCGTACTTCACTTGAGGAAGAAGAGGAGGTTCTTAAGGTCATTCCCAAGCCTGCCAATTCCATTTACATGCAGTCTCAAGAAAGCAGTCTTGCCACAACAGGAACCAACTATCGCCATAGTGACCTGGCCAAGCTGTATGGCCTTCCAGAGTTAGAGAAAAGTGAGTGTGAGGATGATGAAGAAGAAGCGGATCGGGAAGATGAAACTCCATCCTGTTCACCACCACAGCGGCCACATCTCCATCAGACAGGTGTGAACAGCATGTTTAAAAACCTTGTATCTGTACTTGAGAGCCAGAAGTACACCTACCGAGGTGGGCCCTTTGGTCGTCCTCCTCCCTCTGCTTTTATGGGAGTGAAGTACTCTTCATCTCTTTCACTGGAGCCTGACATTTGCAGACAACAACAAAGCACTTCTCCTACATCAGGTTCAGCCAATCACCCAGGTTTCAGCAGTCCAACACAAACCCCTGCCATTAGCAGCTCAGGTCAGCCTCGTCCCCTCTCACCTACAGATTGGGCATCGGAGAGGAAGAGAGGGGATAACACAAGCCAGTCAGATCTTTTGGGCAATGATGATGAGGAAGACATTTCATACGAACCCACAGGACAAAAGGATTCTGGAACTGTGAAAGACTTGTTGGAAAAACGACCAAAGCTGACCACCATCTCAGAGTCTTCCCTAGCGGAGCTTGGTCATAGCTATGAGGTGAACAAACATATACTCCTTTATAAAGACCACTCAAAGGCAGAGTCACAGGAGACATGCAAACCTGATAAAGAAAAGGACCGAGAACGAGAGAGGAAACACAAAAACAGTGGCAGTAGCAAAAAACATGAGGACAGGAAAGAGAGAAAGAAAAAGCACAGAGAAAGACACGAGGATGCGTCTCTTTCCTCATCCTCATCTTCCAGCTCCAGTCGACGGCACAGGGAGGGAAAGTCACACAAAGAAAAAAAGAGCCGGCAGGTACTGGGTAACCTGTACCTTCAGAGTAAGGAGTTTAGGGAGATGGAACAAGAGCATGACGGAGACAAAAAGAGAAGGAAAGAGGAATGTAGCCGACCCCAGAGTGAAAGAGAAGAATGGGCACGGAGTAAAGACAAGGGCACCAGCTCAGGACGTTCCTCTGATCTCCCATCAGCTTCTTCAGCATTATGTTCTGATGACTTTCAGAAACTGAAAGCACTGACAGATGGGCCACCCAAAGAACTGAAGATACGCCTCATAAAGGTAGAGAGTGGGGACAGGGAGACATTTATTGCTTCAGAGGTAGAGGAGAGAAGGATTCCTTTGGAGGAAATCACCATAAAGAACACAGCTAGTGAAATCGTCAGAGCCTGCAAGTAAGCAATATTTGTGTGCAGGAAATCTTTAAAACAAATGATTTCTTGGCTGCAGTTGCAATTATTTTGATGCGACTTGGACCATGAAAGGCATATCTAATACGTAATGTCTTGTTGTTTCAGGGGAGCTCGCTTGAAGGGGAAATTTAAGGAGTCGTACCTCCTACCTGCCCTCTCTGTTAAACCAGTTTTGACCACAGAACAGCCCATCCCTCGAGAGAAACTCAACCCCCCCACACCTAGCATCTACGTAAGCACTGCAGTAGCATTGCCAGCATCTTCTGCCCCCCTGTGGTATTTTTGTGTATTACATGCACAATAACCTCTGCTTAAGTAATGCCACAGCTGATGTTCAGGTGTATAAAAGTTTGTCTTAATGACTCCATCTTGTTGTTTCTCTGCAGTTGGAAAGTAAAAGAGATGCATTATCTCCGGTCCTGCTGCAGTTTTGCACAGATTCTAAGAACCCCATTACTGTCATCCGGGGACTAGCTGGCTCCCTCAGATTAAGTAAGTTTATGTATAATGGATGGATGGACAGATACCCAAGTCATACATTTTGTAACTTTTAACTGTTGCTGTTGTGGAAACTAAGTTTCAATTTTTCTATTTTTTAACTAAAATTCATTTTTCATTCCTTCCTCTTCATAGATCTTGGTCTGTTTTCCACTAAATCTTTGGTGGAGGCAAATGGGGAGCATGCAGTAGAGGTCAGGACCCAGGTCCAGCAGCCAGCTGATGAGAACTGGGATCCCAGCGGCACTGGCCAGACCTGGCCCTGCGAGAGCAGCAGGTCGCATACAACAATTGCCAAGTATGCCCAGTACCAGGCCTCCAGCTTCCAAGAGAGCTTGCAGGTTTGAACGCAAACATACACACACCCCCCCCTCCCCCTACACAACAAAAATTAGGACAGTGTTTGTTGGTTTCCAGAGATTTATTAGTCATTTTGCAATTAATTTGTAATTCTTGTTTGTACAGTTCTGTCTGATATAAACTATAAAATGAATGCCATTTGAATCATATACATCATGCACTCAACATGCACCTATACCATTGTCTGCCTTTAAAGGAAGAGAAGGGTAGTGACAACGAGGAGGAGGATGATGATGATGATGATGATGATGAGAAATTGGCCACCAACTCTGAGAATCCAACCAGTAACTCCTCAGCTCCCAGCTCCAGGTAAGTGTTTGAAATTTGTCCAAATATCTGCATTTGTTATTTTATTTATTTATTTGTACTTTTCTATACGTATGTGTGGTCTGTGTACCTGTGGTCATTTGATTTTCTGCTTAAAAATAAATAAATAGAAATGAGAAACGTTTTGATTTTCATTTTTTGTTTTTAAGAAACGGAAAATGAAAATTTAACTAGATTTTTCGTATATTTGTTAATTGGCAAAAAAATTAGATTTGTTTCGTATTTGTGGGCGGCCCTGAAATGCCCCTTTCGTCCCCCATCTTCTGTACTACACCGTATAGGCTGCAACCGCAAGCTAAGTTCATTTTCAACAGGAGTGACGTGGCAAGGCGAGCCAAACTTATTCACAAGAATTCTGCAGCTTTGTCATGTAGGCTACTAGCGGCGCTTACAAGATTAAAATAAAAAATCTATATTTTCACGGCTGCTGCATGTTATTGACAAAACAGAAATTACTTTATTCATAACCAGTAAAATGGCATTTGACTTTTACTGTATTATCTAAAATGACATGGAATAAAATATGAATCATGCTGATTTTAGCTTACTCATTTTATTCTAGACCTATTAAAGAAAAACCTCACAGGTAACATGTTTTCATTCGCTGTTACAAACAACAGCAATTTGATCTATACATCTCATATAGAGTGGAACAAGTAGGCTACTGCACTTCAGGTCGGCAGAGGTGCCGACGCGGTCCCGATAACAGTGCAAAGAAACTCCATAATTTTTGGTCATACACCCACAATAACAACAAAACATTACAAAACCCTTTTTTAAAATAAAGAAAACAAACAGAATGTGCTTTCTGCCGTCTCTGTAAACGTCTTTCTGAAACGCGTCACAAATATGAACCAAACAAAGACTGAAATGTCTGCCTTTAAACAATTCAAACTGAAAACAATTATTTTCTGTTCATGTAATTTGTATGAAACCAACGAGAAGTACAGTGTTTCCCATCTGAGCTCATTATCTGTAGTGGTCAAGGAATAAACCTTGTATTTACCTCGGAAGAAGAATGCAATGCGATGCTGGGCTTGATTCAGTGGAGGAGATTATTTCTGACGAGAGAAAATCATTCATTCTTACATAGTTACATAAGCTTGTACTCATTTACTAGTTGGGCTTACGTGGAAAACTGAATCAATGCAGGACTTGAAATGGTCTGGAACAATGACAGTAAAGGCATTAATATGATCTCGCTTCAGTTCATAATTCCAAAGTATAACCTATAATTGGGCCTTAAGACTAGACTAAATATTACAGTGAAAACTTGCGTAAAGCGTTATAAATTATGAGGTATTTTTATGTGGTTTGGGTTCCCCCCAACAAACTGCTGTTATGTAAAAAAAATAAAAAAATAAAATCTGCAGCAGTCATGGAATTTTTATATATTTTTTTATCTTGAAAGCGCCGCTAGTAGCTTACACAACAAAGCCGCATGATTCTTGTAAATAAGTCTGACTTGCCTGCGCATCTCTCCTGTTAAATGAATTGAACTTGCGGTTGCCTCTTATACAGTGTTGTAGCTATGGAAGATGGGGGACGGAAGGGCCTACACATACAAAACAAATATTAAAGCATAATCATATTTTTACCCATTCAAAAAATTCAGCAAAAATTTAGTTTGTCTGTTTCTTAAAACAAGTAGAAAATCTAATGACCAGAAGTTACACTGACTATGTATAAAGATCTCTCTATAGTGTTACTTAAAATGGTTTAATTTATCGTTATAGTTCAGAGCAGAAACCTGTGGGGAAGATAATCAAATTTGGCACCAACATTGACCTATCCGATCACAAAAGGTAAGACTACTGTGCATAAATGTGTAACCTTTTCTCATCATCATATTTGGATGATATAAAAAAACTTAAATATGTAAAACTTCAAAACATAGTTGTGGATACAGAAATAAGTGGCTCCGCATGTAATGTGCAAGCATGTATACAAACCTAAATTGTGTTGTCTTTCTTTAGATGGAAGCCTCAGCTGCAGGAACTGCAGAAATTGCCGGCATTTATGCGTGTGTCCTCCAGTGGGAATATGCTGAGTCATGTTGGCCACACCATTTTGGGAATGAATACAGTACAACTCTACATGAAAATCCCTGGCTGCCGCACACCAGGTTTGACGCAATCACAAATAGCTTTCTTAATTTATGAGTTGTAGAGAATCAAGGATAGATAGTCTGCTTTGGCAGGTAGTCATATTGTAGTAGTATTGGTGTTCAATTTCATGTTCAATGCTTGTATCATCAGGACACCAGGAGAACAATAACTTCTGTTCTCTAAACATCAATATTGGGCCTGGAGACTGCGAGTGGTTTGCTGTCCATGACAACTACTGGGAGGCCATCAGTGATTTCTGTGAAAAGTAAGAAAGTGTTAAGTCACTTTACCAAAAACACAGTCAAATGACACTAATAATCAAACAATCTTATATATTTTTGTCAAAATAAATACTTTATTAACAAGTTTGTGAATTTTCTCTCAGACATGGCGTCGATTACCTGACAGGATCATGGTGGCCGGTTCTGGATGACTTGTACCGCGCTAACATCCCCGTGTACCGGTTCATCCAAAGGCCAGGAGATCTGGTATGGATCAATGCAGGCACTGTACACTGGGTTCAGGCCGTGGGCTGGTGCAACAACATTGCTTGGAATGTGGGACCTGTCAACTGTGAGTAACCTACACAATAACCTTTTAAGAACTTCTGTTCTGTTTTTCATTCAAAAAGTGGTGGCTTTCGGGTGTTTTAGTGCCTGTAGCTGAAAATTATGATTTTTTTTCATTGTCATTACAATAACATATGCATGATGTGTGCCAGGAATAGCATTCTTTAAGTGGCAAATAAAATCTAGTTGCTTTAAACTGCATTTTATCAGTCGTAAACAGTTGCAACTAAATGTGTAAAACGAAAATCCTGGGCACAGAAATGTAAAAGGGAAAAAAAATGTTTTCTGCATTTGTAGCTTATCAGTACCAGTTGGCTTTAGAGAGATTTGAGTGGAACGAAGTGAAGAAAGTCAAATCCATCGTTCCCATGATTCACGTATCCTGGAACGTGGCAAGCAACGTCACAGTCACTGACCCAGACACTTACAAGATGATCAAGTGAGTATGCAGTAGCATTATGGACTTGTTCTCATCAAGTCGCATCACAATTAAGTAGCATGGACATCTAATACATTTGCCTTTCCTCCTTTTCAGACACTGTCTCCTCCAGTCTATTAAGCACATTCAGATTCTGAGGGACCAGCTGGTGGCAACAGGAAAGAAGATCTCCTACCAGAGCAGAGTGAAGGATGAGCCGGCCTACTACTGTAACGAGTGTGATGTGAGTTGATTGTGCTTCATTATTTGTAAAGTACTGGCAGGTTCAACATAGAAAAACCCACTAAAGACCTGCAGAATTCTATTCCAAAAAAAGAATATATAATTAACATACAGCTGTCATCTCAAGTTATAAAATAATAATGCAAGTTTTAATTATTCTAAAAGATGTTTTCTTTTGGTGTCATAAAAGGCCCAGGCTTTAAGAGCTTGTGTTCGTTTTGCTCTTGTGCAGGTGGAGGTGTTTGACCTGCTGTTTGTGACCAGTGAGAATGGCAGTCGGAAGATGTATGTGGTGCACTGTGAGGACTGTGCACGACAGCGCAACCCAAACCTCTCCAGTGTAGTAGTGCTGGAGCAATACCGCATGGAGGAGCTCATGAACGTGTACGACTCTTTCAGCCTGGTGAGTGCATCCACATGTTTTCTCAATGTGAACAAACAAGAACAAAGCTAACATCTGTCATTTGTATGTGTGCTTTCTCAGGCTACCGGTTCCAGCTCCCAATGAGGACGTCTCATCCCTTTCCCTCACACAGCCATAACCAAAACTCCTGCTCGCAGGACAAGATCTTTTATTTTAGTCCAATTAAAACATTTACCGTTGGAAAGAAAAAAATGACTACCGTTAATATTCGTTGAACAGCCAATTGAGAACCAGTTTATTCAGCATTGTTTACAGAACCAATCAGCCAATAAGACTCGAGTTTACTTCTGTCGGAATGGCTCTGCGGGACTTCAGATGGAACGCAGTTTGGTGCTGGCATGGCTTCCAGCGGCAGAGTTGCCGAGATCCTGTCCTTTGGGTTTTTGTTCTTAGTTTTCTTTCCTGTTGCTCTCTTTTTTTGTGTGTAAATGCTCTTTGTACTTTTCGTGGGTGCTTCTTTTTTTCCAATAATTTATTTTTAAACCTAGAACAGCCTAGATATATACCACATTGGCCTTGTGACTTGTATTTAGTGAAGAGATAAAAATTAATAATACTAATAATAGAGCTATGGACATTTTTCTAAAGCATTAAGAATTAAAAGAAATACAGTTGATCAGAATGCTTCAAAACATACGGGTTTTAAAAGATGTTTTCAGTTTTCATATGGAATGTTGTTTATATAAGCATTTTAGGATTTCATTTTTAATCAATCATTTTTCCTGCATTTTGTGAGTATAATTGTTCAGTTTCATCCGTTTTGTTCAGTGAATTGTTTCTCACCTCTATACAGAGCTCTTCTCTGATTTTTTTATTTTAAATTGTAAAAAAAAATTTTATTTAAAATGTTTTTCTATTTATTGGATATTAAATGTTCTCCCCTGCCTCAACATGGTTATTAGAGATGTATTAAGGGGTTCGATTGTTACTTAATCCTCTGTAAGATTTCAAGGGTGCTGATTCTTTAAATTTTTTTTACTGTCTATATATATTAAATCTCTCATAACTGACTCCATGTAGATTGTAGGGCACAGAGGGTAGATTTTAATTTGGACGTTGTCTGTTATACACCAATGTTTAAAAAAGAGTTTTCCCCACATATATTAACAGGTGACATATGTGAGCACTGTTATGTATTTGAACACCTGCTGACTTACCAGTTTCTTTTTTTTTTTTCCAAAATAAACATTTAAAGGGGCCATATTCATACGAGTTCTCAAATTAGACCTGTGCTCTCTGAAGCTTTCGTTTTGTTTTTGACTCTGATGATGACTGATGTCAGTAATTCTGAGCCTAGATTAGCAGCTACTCTATCATGAATTCAGGTGATTCATGAATTGGGGCTAAAAACAGTTTTTGATACTCTTACACATAGTGGTGCTTCTGTCCTGTTGTAAATGCTGTTCGTTTGAGGACACATTTGCTGTGCTGATTACAGCAGGCATAAACTTTCTATATACACCGTATACAGTAATTGGCTGCAGTGGGTTGTCAAACCGTACGGCGAAAAATCATACTGAGCTGTAAATTGTGGCATTTTACTGGAATGAGTAACATTGAAAGGGGATTTAACGCATTATTGTTTTTGATTTATATACTGTCATTATTTTTTTACAGCTTTAGAGGTGTTAGCATGAAATAATTCATGTATTATCAGGAAAATGGTTTTTATTATGATATAGATGGTGCTGAGTTCTGCTAGAGCTACTGTTTTTTTTTTTTTAAGAAATATTTTTTCCTGTTGCAATATACACACTTTCCTCTATTCCTCATTTTTATTTTATTTTTGTGGTTATTTAAAATCTGCACTGTTTTGGAATTCACACGAAGCAAACTGAGCCAGACATGTCTTAAACACTTTGTGAATTCGTGTGATTACTCTGAATAATATTAAATGCTTTTGATAAACTTTGATCTGTGCCATGTCTCTGTATTCATTTAGTCAAAGCATAAGGTTTCAAAAGCCTTCATGATATTTTATTACTTTCTAACATGACACAAACAAAGGCCAGTACTTATAACAGTAGAAGGGAGATTTAAAGCAGTAACGGGGGAAAAAATACATTTATATACTACCGACTGTATATATGAGACAAAAACATTGATGTACCATACCTTAAAACATTTCTTAAAGGGGCATTAGCAAGCTGGAATCCAAACACAAAGTCTTGGTGAGTAAAACAATATCTTATATTTGTCATCAGGTTGCTTACATTTTTCAAGTTTACATTTTTTGGCAACCCTCTACAATAAGGTTCATTAGTTAACTACTTTAGTTAACATTAACTAAGATTAATAAATGCTGTAGAAGTATTGTTCATTCTTAGTTCACATTCATTTCAACATTTACTAATGCATTATTAAAATCAAAAGTGCTTGTTATCATTACTGCATTGTGAATTAACATGAACAACTGCATTGTTATTAACAAAGATAGATGAATACTGTAAAAATGTATTGTTCATTGTTCATGTTAGTTAATGCATTAATTAATGGAACCTTATTTTAAAGTGTTACCAATTTGCAAAAATGTTTGCAAAGGTTTCCCACACTATCGTTGACTTATACTGCCAATTCATCAACTTGTACCAGGCACACTTATCTTCAGTTGAATATTTATCCTTGTTTATTCATCTCATGTTTTCGTGTCAGGTTCATCCCTATCAAAGTTCTTTCCTGTTCTTCTCTGCTGACGCAGGTTCAGAGGAACTAGAGCTTGTTTACGTTTGTGATCAGCTCTCAGTAGCATGCCCGATCACTAAACTTTTGGCACAAGAATGGTCACTTCATGAAGCAGCTTTTAAGTGTTCCATATTAACACAACCATGAGGGCTGGAGATAACAGCTCCAGCGGTTGAAACGCTGGTCAGATACATCAAGCGTTCAGTCCAACTGATAACATATTTTGTAACAAATTATAATTCATGCTCTGTTATTGCAGAAATGTACTCCCATTATAATACTCCCAATACGTTAGCAGACACTTTTATCCAAAGTGACTTGGAAGTAGCAACACCAACTATCCAGGACCTCAAGTAAAGAGTTCAAAAAGGACATTAGAGGTTCATTCAGAGGTTAACATTGCACAGGCTTGCGGATTTCCTACTTCCTGTAAGTATAGGAAGCTCTTTTCACCCTTCCTTTATCACAATGCTCAATTTTGCTCCATTCAGAAAGCCAACTCCTTGTTTAATGTACAAAGCTTGAAGACAAGCATCACTGTGGTGAACTCAAAATAGCACTTCCAACAAACCAGAGGCTGGTGAATGTGAATAACTCAAAGACAAAAAAAAAAACAGTGCAAACTATGACGAGATATATTTGGGATATAATTTGCACAGCAGCATTTATCAATATCGGTCACACTTCAAAGATTATTTTTCCTTAAAAAATCATGTCACTCTTCTGGTTGCGTCCTTTTCAGTGCTCCTATATATTGCATATTAGTACAGGATTTATCTTAAACTGTCCTGCTTTGAGTGAAGTCAGGGGTCACTACTCGGGGGAACAGAAACAGTAAACACAGACTCTAGAAAGCAGAGGGAAATCATATCTGACACACATTAATTGATCTGTCTGATTTCTACCACAGATGGGCTCTTATCAGTTACGCAACCAAACATTTACTCTATTCCTCCCATGTGCAACCACTCCCACTGCATTTTCGTATATTCTTTTCATCTAGAAGGAGAAGCCATGCTGCCCCACTCTTCTTTCTACTTTCAGCTCTCTCAATCTGTCCTTGCCATCAGTTGTGTGTGATCCTTTCTGTTCTCATCCCATGTGGCCTACGAAATCAAAAGGCCCTAAACTGAAAAAAACTGAAGTCATTGCATTTGGAAACAAAGATGAAGTTCTCAAGGTGAATGCATACCTTGACTAGGGGTTTGACAACTAAAAATCAAGTCAGGAATCTTGTTGTGATTCTGGAGACAGACCTTAGTTTCAGTAGTCATGTCAAAGCTGTAACTAAATCAGCATACTATCATCTCAAAAACATTGCAAGAATTAGATGTTTTGTTTCCAGTCAAGACTTGGAGAAACTTGTTCATGCCTTTATCACCAGCAGGGTGGACTATTGTAATGGTCTCCTCACCGGCCTTCCCAAGAAGACCATTAGACAGCTGCAGCTCATCCAGAACGCTGCTGCCAGAATTCTGACTAGAACCAGAAAATCTGAGCATATTACACCAGTCCTCAGGTCCTTACACTGGCTTCCAGTTACATTTAGGATTGATTTTAAAGTACTTTTACTCGTTTATAAATCACTCAATGGCCTAGGACCTAAATATATAGCAGATATGCTCACTGAATATAAACCTAACAGACCACTCAGATCATTAGGATCAAGTCAGTTAGAAATACCAAGGGTTCACACAAAACAAGGGGAATGTGCTTTTAGTTATTATGCCACCCGCAGTTGGAATCAGCTTCCAGAAGAGATCAGATGTGCTAAAACATTAGTCACATTTAAATGCAGACTCAAAACTCATCTGTTTAGCTGTGCATTTACTGAATGAGCACTGTGCTATGTCCAAACTGATTGCACTATATTTTATTTATAATCATTTTCTATTCTTAACGGTTTTAAATTCATTTTAAACCTCTTAAATCAGTTTTTAAATCATTTTCAAAGTTTTAAATTCCTTGTTTTATTGTGATTTTTTTAATCTTTTTTTTTTATGTAAAGTACTTTGAATTACCATTGTGTATGAAATGTGCTATATAAATAAACTTGCCTTGCCTTGAACTAGCCTTAGTCACTTTAAACTTTCAACTTTGTTAACCGTTAAAGATCTCTCTCTCTCTCATATATATATATATATAAAAATTGGACTGGTGGCTAAGAATCATGGCTGTTAACTGGAAAGTTAAGCTGGTTGAGCAGGAGCTAGCTGCTTAGAACCAGAACATGACCAGCTTAAACCAGCTGCCATGATTCAAAACATACCTAACCTGCATTTGCTGGCTTTTTCAACAGGGATGTCCCCTAAAAGACCAGCGATTGTTGCATAACAATTGTATTATAGGTGGAGGATGATGGCATCATATCACGAGATGGCAATATCAACCAAACCAACACATGATTACAGGAAAACAAACACTTGCAGCCATGTGGTCAGCAGTTTACGGAATGAGCAGAGAAGAATGGAGGTTTGGAAGATGTGGTGTAA